CAGTGCGGAATGGGACCAGGAGAAAGCAGTGCGGACTGGGACCAGGAGGCAGCAGAGCAGACTGGGACCAGGAGGCAGCAGAGCAGACTGGGACCAGGAGGAAGCAGCTTGTTACAGCCTCCAGAACCAGTAGTTTCCAACAATACAAGCCACTATCCTGAGATTCCACTTTCTGGGAAAAAACTAGTTACCGTGAAAGTGAATCAAGAAGTCACAGAGTGGATCCATCTCAACCTCCTGATGGGGCCAGGAAGACTGACATAGCCCACTCCTGTCCCAGGCAGCACTTAGGCCAGCCATGGCCAGAGGCCAAGGGACCTACCCACACACTGTGCTCCCCTCCTGGCCTGTTCAGCCCTCCTCACCCCCATGTGAAGTTCTGCCACCCCAGGCAAGGATGCATGGCGTCACCTTCTCATGGATCTCCTGCGTGGACTGCGCGTCACAGAAAGCTACCGTGGCCACATCTTTCAGGATGGGCATCTCCACTGTGCAGTCCCGGCCGTCCAGGAGCGCCACCAGGGGCCGGGGGTGCATGGGCCCGTTCATGATCGGAGGTCGGACGCCTGCAAGACAGGAACAGAGCACTCAGTGTCTGTAGTAGCATGCCTCCCCAGCTAAGCCCTGGTGCCTGCTGCCCCCGACCCACAGAGGCTAAAGAGAACCCACCCTCCTCTCTTTAAGAACTTATGCTAAATGTCTGAAAAATTAGCCAGAATGAAATAGCAGTGGTTGCTACAGCTTACAGATGCCTGAGCAGATACAGACTGATGGTGACAGTCACTGGCCCCCAAAGGGCAGAGCCTGTGAGACCCGTGGAGACTCAGGAACAGCTCTATGAGGCAGGCAGGGCTATGGGAGGACCCTGCAGCCTGGAGCAGGCAGGACCAGGAGAGGGGCCATGATGTGAGCTCCATTCCAACTGGAAGTCACTTCTGTCAACACTGGAACATGCAGATCCTGAGGTAACAAGCTTTAGGAAACCATCCCACTATTTCTGCCCTGCATAATACTACAGGATGGCCACCCAGGATCTCCAATGGGGTCACCAAGTGTGTCTTACACGCGAACCCCTGCCTGACATCACTTCCATTTGCAAATTAGAACGTGTAAGAAACAGTGCAAATGCAGAAAAGTTAAAAACCCATTAAAACACATTCAAATCACTCTACCTTCCCAGGAAAAGATCAGGAATTATTAAAACCATGACACACTTAGCCTTATCCAGGGACAAGGTGGAAATACAAGGGCTTCACAGGCACAATGTAAGCGTGGCAGCTAGAGGCACTGCCCAATGCCCAGGGCTTGGGCCGGATGCTGGGCAGCCTGCCCACTCCCCACAGCCTGACGAGGTTTGCAGCCCCTACCTAGAACGTTCAGCACGGGGGACAGTGGGGAGGGTGCAGGATGAGAACTAAGAAGCAAAGCGGCCTGGCAGGACTCCCTGACCACAATTGGAGGAGCCCGGTAACAACAGTCACTCCGTGGACACTCCGAAAGCTCTGCTCAGCCTCTGGCTGTCCCTGAGCCACAATTGGCTGGGAAGCAAGGACACGTCTTAATGGAGTTCAAATCAGAGATGGACAAGCTGCAGACTGTCCTCTCCACATGCAGCACTGAGGCCACATGCCGCTGCTGCAAGAAAGTAAGATGCTTATCCTAAATATGCCTCCGGCCGCTAGAGAGAGGCCCAAGCCTCCACTTACCACCCCCAAAGGAAAACGAAGGTGGGCTCGAGGCAACACCAGGCCTGATGTGTGGGCCTGAGTATCACACGCAAAGCCCACCTCCTCCAAGGTCCACATGCTCCAGCCTATCCCTGGAAGGAGATGCCACTCCACCCACCTGCCTTCATGAAGGGTAAAGGTACCAAGACTGTCAAGCCAGGGGCTCCTGAGATATGGGGTCTATGAGGCCAAATTCCATTGTGGATTGCCTTTTCCTCATCCCGCCTTGACCGGAGCCCACCACAGCACAACACACAGTAGGCACTGCCACGCAAACCCAGCTGCCTTCTCAGGCCGACAGCAGGGACGTGCACGGTACAAACAAGGCACTTTCTCTCCACATGGACTGGAAGGGAGTTGTTTCTCATATTAAAATATTACTTAACACTGAGTGTATTACTGCTATTTTTAAGCAAATTAGTAAACACCTACTTCTGGCATTCCTCACTATAACCTGTGGTAAGGTAACCAAGGGTAGATGTAACTATGAGCAGAGGCTCTTGGGTCTCCTAAGGCTAAAAGCAGGTCCTCAGAGTACAGAGTCTGAAGGGGACACCCCAGGACTGGCAGAGACTCAGCAAAGATCTGATGCCTCAGGCTGGGGCCCCAGGAGAACCCTGCCCCTGGGTCCTGCCCTGCAGACGGGACAGCACAGTAGCCAGCTCTGTCAGAACTGCCATGGAGAGGACCCTGGCAGGAAGCTCTCCAAGCTTACTTCCTCATCTGAGTGATGGGGCAGGCACCCCAATTCAGGTGAGTGCATCATGCCACTTCTCAAGGCTCAGTGAACTCCTGACACCCTCCATCAGCCATGGAGCTGCTTCGGTCACAGCACCTGGGAATTCCCCATGACAACCTACCTCGGTGGGCTCAGGGACTTGCCTCGGGGAGGCAGCCAGGAGTGAGGTGACAGACCCATGTTAGAATGAGCCACAGCAGCACGTTAACCTAGTATTAGCAACTCTGCACTTCCAACCCTGAGAACAAACCACAAGGCACAATTCAACCTGCGCTCCTACTCTCTCCTGCTCTCTGGCTGACGAGTGGATGGGGAGCTGGGATTTCGGGGTTTCCATCAGGGACCCCACACAGCCCCCAGAGTCCATCCTTGCTCCACTGCAGTTAAGTCCTGGCCTCAGTGCCCATCTCAGTGTCTTTCTTAGGACACTCTGCACAGAAACAGACCCACAGCAGTGAACGCCTCTGCAGGCCGCCACTGCTGGGCACCCTGCGGAAATGCAGGAGCCCCCAATGAACGACACCAGCCCTTGCCCCAGTACACACGTGAGGTGGAAGCAGGGCACCTGCTGCACGACCAGACCCACACCACACAGCCCAGTCACCCAGCCTTGAAGCACATTCCCTGGTGTGGCTCCTCCTTTCCACTTTCACGGACACGGGCTTCCACTAGTTCAAGCTTCAGGAACCCCTACCAACCTGACATTTCTTAATATGGGCTCGGTTTCCACGACCATGAATTCGACTTTTCAAAGCTTTTTCTCTTCAGAATCCCCAGGCAGAACCGCGTCCTGTCTCGGATCCTCATCCCACGGCTTTAATTGTCTCGAACCAAAGCTCTCAGGCTTCTGATCCACGGCAACCACTGAAGCCTGCGTCGGGGTCAAAGTCTTACTAAAAATTAAACACAAGAGACACATTAAAATACCATCGAGGGTCCAACTAAAACTCACAAACTCCAGGAGTTTCCATGAAGGTACAGTTTCTCACTGTGTCCCAGTCCTGCCTAGGACCTGCATGGGGCCCAGGGGCTGCTGCCAGCCAAGCCCACAGCTGCTGTAGACTCAGTGAGAGGCTCACCCTGAATCTACAGTTCCAGTTCTAGACCACCCCCAATGTCACCCACACGGACTCAGGAATTCTCCATGGCTGCAGCCACCCCCATGGGCCTCTGGCCTCCAGATGCCACAGGGAGGCCAAAGGCATGGAGTGTACAGTTGGTACTGGGCACGGGGAGAGGACACTGCATTGGTGGGCCTGCCTGCTGGTTCTGGAAGCTTCACTTTCTGTTGCCAACTCTTGGGCTCTGTGAATGGGCAAGGACATCAGACTTCCAACAAGGCCACCAGAGTAAGGGAGCTAAGGGTACTGGTTTTCTGACATCCCACCCTAGGTTGTCTTCCCTGCCCGGCACCCCCTGCACATAGCATGCAAGCCGACTGTCTCTCCAGTCCTCCCAAAATGCCACTTAGCTCCTCCCGACTGATTATAGCACAGGCCTGGCAGGGCACTGAGGGCATGGGCTGTGGCACCCAACATTGAGAGGGATACTTGGCAAGAGCCTTTCTGCATGGCCAGGGGCAGAGACCTCAGGGGCATAATCCTAGGAGGTTCAGGAGGCTGGGAGAGAACATGGCTCACTTGCCCTTGGGAGGGTCACTAAGCCCGCCAATGGCATGAAGACACGGCATGGACTGGGTAGAAGAAGCCTTACCATGCCACCTCCTGCAGAGCCACAGGTGTGGGCCCTGACACAAGACCAGTCAGGCAGCGCCTTGGAAAGCTCAACAAGGAGGGGGAACACACGGCCAGAAGCCTATGACTCTCTTAGCCTAGCAAGACGCAGAGAAAAACTGTGATAAACTGTGTGTACCGTCCCCTTCTACAAAGACTAATCTCCCCTCAGCCCCCGTGCAGATTTCAAGAACACACACTGGCCCCTAATCACTGGCTCCCAGGGCACAACCAGCCACAGAGGACAGGGAGTGTGGCTCACTGCAAACAGGAGGGGTCAAGGTGAAGTGGAGACGCTGGCCCTGGGGCCATCACCTCGAGGCCAGGCACCTTCCATCCAGGCTCCAGTGAGGCCTCTCCTGGTGGCAAGTGCCATGTTGGACTCCCCCAGCAGAGGGCGATGGAGCAACACGGCAGGAGGAAGCAATCTCAGACCCTGGGCCTGGTGATGCCTCCCCACCTAGAAATCTGCTGAAGCTTTCTGCCCTGCAGGGCCAGACTCCCTCAATATGCCCAGAAACTGCACAAAAACAGAAACTAAAAGAACAAGAAAAGATTGTGTGAGTAAGCACACACCCCTACCACAAGAGCCAGCCCCTGGCAGGAGACGAAGCGCTGCATGATCCATGTGTGTCCAAACTCATCAATGCCTAGCACCCACTCAGTACTGGTCAATACTCACTCACGCTCACTGACGCTGCGCACTCTTACTTACTTAGTGAATAAGTACTCGCCAGCACTCATCCATGCTCATCAATATCCTGCTCGCTCTAGCTCAGTGCTGGCCAGCTCTCGTCCATGCTCATCGATACTGTTTATTCCAGCTCAGTAGTGGTCAGCATTTGGCCAAGCTCACTGCCACTTGTTCATGCTCACCCACACTGCTCACTCTCCCTCAGTACTGATCAATACTCATCCGAGTTCATCAATACTGCTTATTCCACTCAGAACTCATCAGTACTCATCTAAGTTCGTCACTACACTGTTCACTTCAGGTCTGCCCTAGTCAATACTCATCCATGCTAATCCATGCTTGTCCAAAGTGCTCACGCCCACTCAGTACCGGTCACTCATTCATTCTCATCAATATTGCTCACTGTTGGTCAATACTGCTAGTCAACACTAATTCTAGACAACTACTCACTCTGGAGGAAGATGATATTGGAAATACCCCGATAACCTGGAGCTCCCAGATAAACCTGCAGTAACGAGATTTCACTAGATCGAGTCCATTGGATGACCGAGGGTGGAAGAACCCCCATAAGGATGCCTACGGGTGTGATGAGCTGGCTCTCCCCAGGCCCAAGGGGCTGTATCCCACACCACGGGGGCCTAAAGCTACTTGTTTCCTGAAGGCAGTCACAGGGTGAGAGTGACACCTCAGCTTGGCATTCTTGTCCTTGGTTCGATGGCTGAGTTCCCAGGATCAGTCCAAGAAGCGGGTAGGCAGTGGACAGTAGGAGCAGCATCTCCTTTTTTTTTTTTTTTTTTGGGGGGGTTTTTTTTTTTTTTTTTTTTTTTTTAGGGGCCGTGGGCTCCCCCCAG